AAACATTAAGTATTTATTTTCTGATGAAAGAACTCTAAGATCAGAAGGTCAGATTTCAAAATTACTGAAAATGGTATTATAGGATGCAATTAAAAAGAAATACTAAGGACAAGAATTTAGAAGATAGTATGAACGTATGAACGTATGCCATAATTAGAACTTTTCCCCTAAAATAGACACATGCATACTAAAATAAATTCAGCACAAAGGATAATGGAGACTTTAGAAAGACTTTGACTCTGAACTTCTTGGAGGCAAGGCGCAAATGTGAACACACAAGGTTACAAGGAGTCCTAGTGATGAGAAAACATAGAAGCACTATTTCTACAGAAGAAACAATTTTCTTCTTGCTTTTCCTTCTAGGAGTTTCTGAAATAAAATCATTTGCAGTGGACCCTGAGTAACTTCAAGGACAATGTCCTTGGCAGAATTTTACCAAGTAATTGCGTGAGACTTATTCCTTCAAACACACACAGTCACTTGCGTAATATTAAAATGCAAGCGAATAGGTCATTTTTCAAGAGGCTGAGATTTATGAATTCAAATATCTAGGATATCATTTTTTGTTTTGTTTTTTTCCAAATATATCTGATAGAACTTGGTACGATGGCAAAATTTGAGGTACAGGAAGAATGAAGGACTGAGAGTCTTAGGAAATCATCCCATCTAAATATTTTCACTTGAGTTTTATAAACTTGCATTAAAGCTATGTAGCAGGGCAGGTCTCTCACAATGTGCACTCAGAAAACAAAAAGAGAAATTCTATCAGGTGACATGGGTGACACTCAGGTGTGGGCCAACCCCACCTTTGTATAAAGTTTTGTCTTTGTGAGCTTATCTATGACAGGTGCTCTTTGAATTCAGGCTCAGGACACCATAAAGAAATGCATTTTTTTTTTTTAACAATCAACAAATATTCTTCACAAAAAGTAGCGGAAGTAGTCTGCCAAAGCCACACAGCCAAAACCATAACCACTTAATATTTCTGTCTAAGGATTGGGTGAATGGCTGTTTAACTCATGCATCTTTAAAACTTAATGAAAACTAAGACAGTATTTTGGATCAAGCTTATTAGATTTTTCACAAAACATACCCTTTGACATTCAACATGGAGGATTTTATGATTTGAGATGTTTGTTAACAATGAATTGGTAAAAATATGAAGCATGTGCAGAAAAGTGTCATAATGCAGTTATTATACTTCATGCATTATAGAAAATACTTATTGTGATGACAGAAATTTTGGCTGCTTAAAGCAATCAAGATCTGTGGGGTCTTGATAATTCCAGTAAAATAAAAATGGATTAATTTGAACTTGAATTATTATAGACAGTCAATTGAAAGTATTTCTGTTGAAGTGTAACTTCTTGAGGGATAGTGCTGAATAATTAAACATGAGTAGATTTTGTATTAATGACAGCAGATTAGTCAAAACGAGTGCCGAGATGCTCAAGTAGAGTACTAAAATATGCTGTGCTAATGCACATCTATGGGAATGCTTCTTTGAATTTCTTAAAGTCAACAGGAAACATATAATTCAATATTTCACTCTACTTAAGGAGTCTCCTGGTTTAGACATTCCAAGTAACCGAAGAGCTGGGTTTATTGAATGCCCCTTTCATTTTATAACACAGAATCCCCACCAAACAACCCTATACTTAACATTCCATCATAAAAAATGTCAAAAACTTCAGGTTGCCTTGTTGGCTTGTCAAGTATTAAATAATTTGCATGTGAAAACAATCACATACTGAAAATGATACATTTTCTTCATGTCTACCTACACTAAAACACAACAGAAAAATAATTTTTGTTTAGAGTTCTTCCAATTTAAAAAGATACCTGTTGGTATTATATCAAATTTGACCATTATGATGGCCACAGTATTCATGAACAAATACTTAGCTGAGATTCCTCTCTGTCCTACTCATGCCTTTTTCTCCCTGTTATAGATGACGACTATTCAGTGACACAGAATCCTCCCCACACTCCATGTCAATAAAGTGACACATAAAACAAATCAACCTTCCAAGTGACAACTAGATGGCAGGTCTAATTTGTTATTGCCAGGAGTACATTGCTGAGTAATGCATAAAAAATGGGCTAAACTACAATAGCAACTTGCATCCGTGTTGTTCATTTCGCATTTAATTACATTAGACCTTGTATTATTACTTAAGCACTTCACTTCCCACAACTTGTCACCCTCAATGAATCATACTAATCAAGGAACATGTTATATTTTCCTAATTATCAGGTGAGACATCTCTTCAACTTCTCCTTATTATGTTGTATAATGTTATGTATATTATATATCCTATCTAATAAAAGAGTAATATGCAAGATGACACAATTATGTCCGCCCCCATGTATTCAAAGATGGCTGCCCCCATGTGGACACAAGATGGCCACCACAAGATGACCAGTTGTGGGCAGTTAGGGGTGACCAAGACAGCAGAGGAGGGCAGTTGGGGTAGACCAGGCCAGCAAGGGAAGGCAGTTGGGTGGGACTCAGGCCTGCAGGGGAAGGCAGTTGGGGGGACCAGGCCTGCAGGGGAGGGCAGATAGGGGTGGTTAGGTCAGGAGGGGAGGGGAGTTAGGAGTGAATGGGTCAGCAGGAAAGGATAGTTGGGGGCAATCAGGCCAGCTGGGGAGCAGTTAGGCATCAATCAGGCTGGCACAGGAGTGGTTAGGGGGTTATCAGGCTGGCAGGCAGAAGCAGTTAGGGGCAATCAGGCATATGAGCGGTTGTGAGCCAGCAGTCCTGGATTGTGAGAGGGATATCCAACTGCCAGTGGGGTCAGGCCTAAATGGATGGTCCCAGATTAGAGAGGGTACAGGCTGGGCTGAGGGACACCTTCCCACCTGTGCACCAGTCCTCTAGGCTATTAAACAAGGAGTGAATGAAATTATTACATTCAAGTTTAGTAGCATTTCTGTACAGCATAAGATTCCTTTATAAAACCACTTGACTTTCAAGTAGTCAACGTTTTGTCCTCTATGCATAGTGCGAGGTTTACAACAAACAGATGTCTATGGAAGTGAAAAATATAATTAATGAAAAAAAAAACCACGAATGTCTCAAATATGCCTTAGAGAAAATAAGAGTTCTTCATGACAATTATTTTTCTCTTAAATAATGATTAATAAAACATTTATACTGTGAAAAATAAATTATGTCAAATAAAATAATTTCTAAACATCAAATGATTAGAAAGAAAGGGTAATGTCAGATGCTGTTAAAATAAAAAATATTGATATATATTATCTTTCTTGTAACTGAAAAAGGAAGCTATGTTATATACTTTGTACTCTGAGTGACACATTGTTTTAATTGGAATTTCACATCAGCTGCTTAGTGATCCTGAGCCAGATCCTATGTCAATGCCAGGATTCTGGGCTTTTACACCTGCTTAGATGTCCTTTTTGTTTGTTATCTCTTTCCTATTGGGTAAATGATAATAATTTTTTAATAATGGGGAAAATAGTTTCCACCTCTCCCAAGCGTCTCTCCTCTTTTATATCACATCACCTCTGCTTGTAATAATTTAGTTTGATCAGACACATTTATGCCATTCTTATTTTAAAATGGCTGATGCACCACACATCTAATTTTAATGTAGTTATTCGGAGAAGCAAGCAACTTCTTACATGGAGGATGCTGTGCGTGTATAATGGAAGCTTTTCTCAGATGATGAATTAAAAATAATTGGTAATGTTCTCAGAGTTAAGATTTTATTTAGTGGTGACTGTGGGTCAGAAATGGCTCCCAGAGCTTTATGTGTGTCAGCGGATAGAATTCCCAGAGCTTTAGCCAGCAGATAGAATTCCCAGAGCTTTATAAATTAGGAATTGGTGTTATCTGGAGAGGTGTCTGACACAGGTCATGGAGGTGGCTTGCCAAAGCCACCCAGCTACAAAGTGCTGGATCTGGACTCTAAGCCAGGCTCCCTAGGTCCAAACCCATGCTCTCTCCCAAGCAGACCACTTCTTCTCTATAAGGACAGTCCTTTCTTTAAAAAAAAAAAATCCATGATATGTTCACAACCAATGGATTTGTTATTGTGTCGTTTACATGTGCATCTGAAAAATGATTTATCAGATATGATATCCTCTGAAACCTCTCCTAGCCACCCCAACTCCTGGCCCTTCACACCAAAGAAGGAGAGGCCGGATCACAAACCTTCCCAGTCTTGGCTTTCATGGAGCCGGGAGAGGAAAAAAGGACTTTAGAAAATTCCCAATACATTTCCGCTCACATACAATTAAAAAAAAATTAAAACACTGTAAATGCATGCAAGATCTAAGGTGTACATTTAGAGAGGAAGGTGAATTATAATCAAGTTAAAAAAAACCCAAACACATCAGTATCTGATTTCCCCCATAAGTAATCTAACCGCCGCATAAGCTCACCCATGTATACAGCCCAGCCGAATATCAAAGCTCATGCTTTCACCAACAAGCACACAGATACGCTGAGCACAACAAAGCCTTATTTTTCACATGAGGGTCTCCACCCCCGATGGCCATTTTTGAGGCTTGCTATCTGCTAAGCATTGGCACGAGAATGGTGTTCCTTAGATGGACCCATCCACTTCCTCCCGTTCCACAGGAAGCCCTTCTCCCAGGCCATCCAAAGCCTCAAGGCATGCTCCTCCTCATCTCCGCTTCCGTGTAACAGAAAGCAACACACATGAATGAGATGCTGGTTCTCATGGCATTGGACCCATGTGACCCTCATTGTCTATGGTACGGTACCACGTGGGGCTGTGAGCGCTGGCCCACCAGGTGCTCCTGGTTGAATAAACGAGGGATAAATATACTTGAGGAAGATGAAGAGGAGAAGGGGGGAAACAAACGAGCAAACAGAACCCCTGTGACCTGACATCATGGAAAAAATAAATTAAAAAAAAGACACTAGGATGAAAAAATAAATAGTGTCATGGTTTACAGGTGGGATTTGGATGGAATCTAGGGCTGTGTTTTCATTCAAAACTCACCATCTCAAAACCACTTCTTTTCATCCGCCTGCAGGACTTGAGGTAAGTACGGATGCGCTTTCGGGCACGCTCTTGGTACTCAGGGAATTGTCGCCTGCATGAGTCAATGATAGCCTGGATCTTTTCTTTGGGCTGCTTAGAGATTGGGACCATTCGGTCCAAGTTTTCATCTACAAACAGCCTGACAAACATCTGTTGGCAAGAGGGAGACAGAGGAGAAGGGTTTGGAGGGCTGCTCTCGGCTGTTCCTCGCTTCCTGTCTTGATCACGGGTAGGAAAATACTCTTTTTTTTGTTTGTCTGTTTGTTTAGTCGCTGGAGAACTTTGCAATGGAAAGCCAGAAATTTTTAAGCAAACACCCTTTAAAGACTTTCTCCATGGTTGGATTAAAAAAAGAGAGAGAGAGAGGGAAAGAGAAAGAAAGGCAGACAGACACAGACAGACAGAAAAGTATAGACTATCATGTAGAAAAAAACAAACAAACAGGAGGCCACAGCAGACTGCGACGATGAAGCACCCCATCAAACTGTTAGAGAGAAATACAGTGCGGCCGCCACTCGGCTACTCTGCAGGGCACTGGTCTCGGAACACACACCACGGACTCTGTCATGCAGCATGAGACACAAGGGGCAAGCAGAAGGACCACTGATGACGGGCCATGTGCTCCTCAGCCCTGGAGAGACACGATATTCACACAACACATCAGGGGCCGGCCACGTCGGGCCTGACATTCTAAGCAAAACACACAGCAATTCTGGTGTCTGGTTGGCAAAGAGTGTTTCGTGTACTTTTAAATCGCTCTGCAAGTCAAACAGACACGTCTCTAAAGTATCCACAGGCACCAGCAGGCAACATGAGCGCGACGTGGTGAGAGTGAGCCATCAGGGCGGCCTTGGGGGACTCACGTTGAAAGCCTTCAGCCGCTCGGCCTCCACGCTGCCGTCCGTCTCGGCCACCTTCTCGGCGTCGTCGTGGTCCTCGTGTTCATCCTCATCCTCGTCGCCCCGGTGCAGGGACAGGTCCTCGGCCCCCCGCTCCCCGCCCTCGGGCTTGCTGGAGTCGTAGCTGGAGTAGCTGTGTGCAGGGGACTGTGGAGAGAGCAGAGGAGGAGACGGCCAGGTTACATTCGCTGCCCACGCTTAGACGTAAGGGTCTGATGTTGGAATTTTAGCTGTTTCTCAAAGTACATCCTGCTTAAATGAGTTGATCATTTCAGGAGCTGTGGCTATTCTAAGTTAAATGAAAATTAATTAAAATTGAATGAGAAACACATTTCTTCGGTCACACCAAGTCACATTTCAAGTGCTCAGTAGCCCCATGGAAAATTCCCATCGTGGCACCACGTTGTATTGCTGGACATTGAAATTGGGACTCAAATGTTTTTTGTTATTAAATGTTTATTTCTAGTCTGCAGTTGCAAGATTTTTTGAAGAAAAGAAATGGGGAACAATAGTTATAGAGCTAAAGAACCACTGAAAAGACTGTCAAACTATAATGAGAAGGCAAGGGAAGTTGGAGGTGGGGGACTGTAAGAGATCAACTAAAGGACTTGTATGCATGCATATAAACATAACCAATGGAGACAAGACACTGGGAGAGGGGCAGGTGAAGGCAGGTGGATTTAGATTTTTGAAAGCAATTGCTGTTTCCAGTCACTGTCCCTGTTCCAAAGAAAAGGAAGGGAATACCAACCTGCACTCCGTTTTGCAAGAGAACCATGGAATCATATGTTCTCCGTGATGGAAATAATGTCGGAGCTGAGCTGGCCTCACTATGTTTGTCTTTAAATAGGTGAGGATACTCAGGGGTGCGCATGCTCAGCTGGCTTGCCCCACAAGGACAAGAGAAAACATGAAGGCTAGGCCTGTGATTTGTATGACAGCATGCTTTCAGCTCAGTTTATAAATGGTCTGTGTCTCAGGATGGCATCCGGTTTTGGATTAGAAAACAAGGAACCAGGATTCCTCCTAATGATGTATCACACTTAGTGTCTCCTAATGCACAAGAGATGATTACGGCCAACCAAGACAAGGTTCCCAAATGGATCGTGGTACCCAAGGCCAACCCTGTGTCCTGCTGTGGGGCCTCCTGCTTCTCGGTCAGCCCAGCAGCTTGTCCTTTGAGAAATGGCTTTTGCTTTTCACCACGTGAAAGCGGCAATCCCATGGGCAACAACCTTCTCTACCTTATGCATGTGGCTCACCTTCCCCTGTTGGTGAAAAAACACACCACACTTGCCTGTAACTGAAATCAAGCCGAGTCCAGCAGAAGCTAAGCAGAACCTCATATGGATATCTAGAGTCCACTGTGCTTGAAATTAACCTAAACACTCTTCAGATGTATGATAAAATACATCCTCCCTGCTCCAACCCCCTTTTATTTTGATTAAATCTGAGTTTTAGTCGCTTGTAATTGAGTCTGGAGTGGCACAGAAATCAATCATTGTAAGGCCAGAATAATGAGGCAGATTTCACACATACCAATTTAGATACATAGGTGGCTCCTGATACACAGATAACAATATCTGTAAACAGCAGCAGTCTCCCTCAAATCTATCCATAAAGTCAAATCCTTCTGAAAGACCTTGACAGTGAGAATTTTAAATCAACAGTATTAAAAAAAATGCCTGTGAAATGTTAACATATGTGTAGCATGCTTTAAGGATTACACAAATTTAACTGTAAAATAAGAGAAGAAACTGTAAAGCTAGAATAGATAACTGACCTCAAAATGAAGTTAAAATTTAAAATCCAGAATATTTTTATAGTTCAAAACATTAAGAAGGTGGAATTACCTAATAAAATACAAGGTAAATATTCCATAGGTTTGAGAAATACACTGTTTAGAATGTTTTAAAATGGCAATGTGCAATATTTGGAAAATGTTATAATATACTTATCTGCATTCAAATATGCCAAGCTAATTTACTCTTTCTACACACCCTATGAAACACACAACCCAGCATCTGCTCCAAACAGGATCAGCTGGAACCACAAAGGATGTATAGTCCTAATCTCTTCATGTAATAAAAGCCCATCCTTAATGTATTTGAAATATTCAGGCTCTCAATCTAAAGCATAATCCATATAGACTAATGATCCTTTACAATGTAAACTAAAACAGATAAAAACAACAACTCTGAATTCTGTTTCTCAAGTGGAGTTTCATTTCTTGCCTCTCTCACTGGAGAAGACCTAACCAGCTTTCAAGGCCAATCAGATTAAGTTCCTTTTCTACAAAGATCCCCACTTGTACCTCAGTCCATCTTTGATCCTTTGCTACACTGTGAATTCATCATAACTATGTGGTGGCCTTTAGCACAGAAGTGAGCAACGGAGGTGTTTTTTGTTTTTGTTTTTGTTTTGTTTTTTTAATATATTTTATTGATTTTTTACAGAGAAGGAGGGGAGAGGGATAGAGAGTTAGAAACATCAATGAGAGAGAAACTGATCAGCTGCTTCCTGCACACCTCACATTGGGATGAGCTCACAAACAAGGTACATGCCCTTGACCAGAATCGAACCTGGGACTCTTGAGTCTGCAGGCCCATACTCTATCCCTTGAGCCAAACCGGCTAGTGCTGCTCCCCCCTTTTCTTCCCATGTTCATGTGCACTTTCCTTCAAGCTAGACCAAGATAGGCATCAACACACATCCTCCCACGTTTCTCCTCACTCCATCCAGGACTTGCTCTCCACAGAGTTGCCACTCAAGAGTAGTTTCCCATTTTCTACAAAACTAGTGGGTCTTAAAAACGGAAAGAAGACAAGCCACAGACTAGAAGAGATTTGCTAAAGACATGTCTGACAAAGGACTGCAATCCAAAATATACAAACGACACTGAACACTCAACAAGAAACAAAAAAGGGAGGGAGGGAAGGAGAGAGAGAGAGAAAGAGAGAGAGAGAAAGACACACACATTGGACGGGCTACATAAGTGCCCATGAAGCAGGGGGACAAGGAGAGAGTCTAAGCCATATTCTAAAATGGGTTCAGAATGCCTGCTTCTCAGGGCAGTCTCCTAGCCTGCATGCCTGGTGTACTAAATGGTTACTGAAGTTTTTCCTCCCGAGAAAAAAACAATTGCCCATCATTCAACAGATTCCACTTAGAAACAGAAGCTGTAAGTCAAGAGCAATGCATTTTATTTGAAGTTACTGTGTGTTTCTATGTGAAAGAATTGCTCCTGAGAGAGTTATACATTTGAGCCAATTTGTCAAGGCTTTTATTTTTATTATACAAATGATGACAGAAATATGTGCTAGGAGTGACATTGAAAGTTTCTTTCAATTCTAAGCTCCCATGATTACACCACTTTTGAGAGAAGAATCCAAGGAAGGATATGCTCTTTCAGCTTCTCCAGACAGATGTTGTCAGGGACACTGGTTTATCTTTTATCACAAGGTTGGGACATGCTGACAACAGAGAAGTCTTGCAACCCAGTGAGTTAAAGTGTGCATTCCTGATTTAACTGTTCTTCCAAAGTTTCAAAAACAACTACTGAAGACATTAACCCATCATTCTGAAGGCAAAATCTCCAAATGGCAAAGTTCGTCTTCTAACATTTCAGTTAAGTTCTACAACTAAAATAATAAAAGGGAAATGTAGGCATCAGATCTCAGAATGTCTATGGTGAATATCAATTAGATTTTCTTCAAGTATTTTTAAAAAGACAAAAAAAAAAAAAAGTTACAGAAATCATTAGTCTATTTTCCCCAGAAGCCTTATTTTGCTACTAGTGACCCAGTGCATGAAATTTATGCACATTAAAAGGAGATTAATTAGAAGAAATAATTTAATTTTGCTACTTGCCCTTTCTCTATAATAAAAGTGTCAGAGATGAAAGCAAGTTAGTAAAATGTATATGAAAATCTTTTTCCTGTCAGAGTCTGGGCCTCACCATGGAATCCAGAGTCAAGTCTCTACCCACTTACCTGCACCTCAAAATTGTGTGAGACCTAGACCTGGCTGACCCACACCCCCATTGGGCTAGATCCAGACCTGGCCAGTCCCACCCTTGTCAAGCCCTGCTGGGCAGGGGGCATAACCTTAGGTCCCCTGGCCTGGCCCCAGGATGGGGGGCATGGACTGAGGTCTCCCAGCCAAGACAGGGGTGGGGGCGTGCCTTGAGGTCCTCCATCAAGCCCGGCCAGATGGGGGACATGGACTGAGATACCTTGTTAAGCCCCGTTGGGTGGGGGACATGACCTGAGGACACCTGTTAAGCCCTGTCAGGCAGGGGATGCAGTAGAGGTCCCCTGGCCTGGTGCCAGGGAGGGGGCACAGCCTAAAGTTCCCTGTCAAGCATCACCTTGTGGGGGGGCATGGCCTGAGGTCCCCTGGCCTGGCACTGGGGTGGGAGGAGCAGCCTGAGGTCCCCTAGCCCAGCACCAGGACAGGAAGCACACCTTGAGGCCCCTAGTCAAGCCCTGCGGGTGAGGAATGCAGCCTGAGGTCCCCCGTCAAGCCCTGCTGAGGTGGGGTGGAGATGGCCACAGCCTGAGATCCCCTGTCACGCCCCACAGGGGAGAGTGTAGCCTCAGATCCCTGCTGACTGCTTGTTAAGGCTCCTTTTGGGAACTTGGCCTCAGCTGTGGGTACAGCCATCTTTGTGATGGAGTGATGGTCAATTTGCATATTCCTTATTATATTTTGCTACATCATCTCATATGTCTTTAGGAGAATTTTTTTTCTTTTTAAAGTGAAATTGGAATTTAAAGTGAGCCTTCAAAGTGAACCATCAATTCCATCACCAGCAACACAAACGACTGCCATAATCTAGTGGTTTTGAGGCATTATTACCATTTCGTTCTCAAGGGACTGGGGTTGTATAAACATTTTAGCAATGTTTAGTAATAATTTCATCAGCCCAGGCATCAAACACTAAAAATAACAATTGATGTTTAACACACAGAATGGCCACACCTGCTTTTAATGTGCAGATTAAATGTTTCATTTGCTTTTAATGTGCAGATTAAATGTTTCATTTGCCTTATTTTAAAAATTAAGTCATCATAAATAATAGTAACATCATTAGTAATAGGAACAAGGATAACTAAGACTTATATTGGGCATAATATGTTCCCGTT